AAAAGGAGAGAGATGACAATTCATTGAAAACAAGTTATAACTACCCAACTGTGCAACATTAAAACGGAATTAAGCTTTAGGGCCCTGTCACACCATGCCGATTTAGCCAGCGTATACCTGATGTCCCAGAATCCTCTAAAACAATGGCATACTTTGAACTTTCTATTTATTTTGTGCGTATACATAGCGTATTCATAATGAGTTCAGGGCATATGTCTAACGACAGCCTAACTTATACATAACGTACGGCAGGGTAATGCCCATGAAATGATGCACAAGCCAGTGTCCTGAGGAGGGCAGCGATGCGCCCGGAGGCGCCCCGGCTGCATAAAAAGATGCCTTTGATTGCGGTATTATCCTGGCTGCTGTTTACCGCCTGCCAAAATAAAAAAGAATAAAGAAAAAGAAGGAAAGAAGGTTTGCAATCACAGCAGATTCAGCGTCATGTATGCTAGGAAGTTTGTTGGTCGTAGCCGAGCACATGAATGCAGGATCCGTTACATTAACCTTCTCATTCACCCTATGATGGGGATAAAGTCTGGAGGAGTGTAGACGGTGTCCTCCTGTGAACCCCCTTTTACACTAAAACACTGCCAATACGCTATTATACACTAGTTGTCGCCTGGAACACGTCAAATACGTTGATATGCACTGGAGATAAGTTCTTGATAAGTTACGCATAAGTTATGCACAAGTTACTCAGGTTTTTGATAAACTAGACACCACAACTTATGGGTAACTTACTCTTAACGTATGTCAACGATCATTTTCCGTACGTCAGGCATTATGCTGTCTAAATCGTCAAGGTGTGACATTTTCATTAAAATGCAGAAACTGAAATCTATTATCAAGAGTTTACTCGTTTACTGGCCTCTTTAAGTATTAAGAATCTGGTTTTATTGTTTGTCTTGTTGCCCAAATTTATGGTAAGTTACCCAGACTGCAAGTCTACTAGTTTCTGGCTCAGCTGTTGGAGTTCTTGGGTTTTTCATTTTGATTTTAGAAGGGGATTTAACATAGAGAACTTGACCTAAGTGAGATGAACATATATACCCCCACCCCAAAAAAAAAAAAAAAAAAAGAAAGTACACAAAAATGCTGCAAGAACTTTACATAAAATAGAAAGGAAAATGATTTAAAGCTTGTGGTGGCAAAAAAAACACAAATATAGACTTGAGGTAGAATTATGAACTAACTCAGAATGATTGGACTGTTATTTTTAATTTCCTTTTTAAGAAACAGGTTGGTTACAGGTAAAAATAACATGCTATTAAACAAATGGTTCTTGGTTGCAGTACCTTTTTTCATGTACTCGTGATTAGCTAAATATTGCTAGGATTTTGCTTTCAAAAGTGATGAGGAAATCATAAGAAATGGTTCTTCTAGTTCGCACATATTTGTTTATAGGGTGTTTGTATGAGTTAGGTTAGTGTGTTAGGATGCACAAGGTAGATCCAAAGGGTGGGAAGCAGTCAGCAATCTTAGAGGATTATTGATGATAAAAATAAGGTGTGACTCGGCTTTCAGGCATGCCTCTTATATCCTCTTTCCTTCATGAACCAGTGTCCCGTGAAATTGGGCTCTAAATTACGAGACCACATGAAGGTTTTAAAAACGATCCACTGGCTTCTAAGGACGTTGACTGGACTAAAATAGTCGACGGGAGACAGTCCATGGGCCTGGCTTTTGTTTGGGTCTGGTCCAGTGTTGATAAAAAAAGACAGAATGTTTTTCTTTATCTCCTTATAGAAGATGGTAAGGATATATCAGCTTCATCCCTGTCATCATTATCAGCTACAACACATGAAAGTTTGCAAAGATTTTGATATTAGTGTTATAAATCAGTCCTGTTCCTTGTTTGTCTTGGTATGTGCTCCTCCTTACAGTAAAATGTTGTCTATATTTGAATAATAAGACTTATCTTACAGAGTTACTGTTCTGCTGCCCACCACTATCCCTCACTATCACCCTGTTTCGCTCCTCCCACTCTCTTCTTTCTCTTTAATCATACATCCCTTCACCCACACACACAAACTAACGCACTTTCCTCATTTAGTTTTTTATCTTCTACCATGGCCCTCACCTCTCCTTGTCCCTATTTTCTTCCACTCAAGAGAAAGTAGAGATATAGGTTTCTCAAACATGGCTCAACCTTCCGTTTCCATCAGACTGTTGAGTTGAGGCTAAATCTAATCACCTGTCTCACTATAAAGCTTAGATGGATCTTCTCACGGGAATGGAGGTTATGAAGTATTTTCCCTATAAACAGCTCAGCTAGACCACCAGCTAAATTTAATCAGAACTCTAAGTGGATGGACTTAAATGTCTTTCAACAACCTAAAGCAATATTTGATCTAAAAATTTGAACCATGTGGTAGCAGGTTTTACTTTATTAAATACTTTAGCTTTATAAAATATGATATTTCACTTAACCGTATCTCCATTTTAAAGAGACACTCTTAAGTCATCAATGACGTTGAAATGAACATAAACTTATCCTGCTTCACCTCCCTTTGTCAGATACAGATAGGGCAAGGCAAGGCAAGTTTAACTGTAAAGCACAATTCAGTACATGGACAATTCAAATTGCTTTACATGAATTAGATAATAAAATTGTAGAAAGGTAAAAGCAGAATAAAGGCAAATGGGGAAAAAAAAGAAATAAAAATGCCCTTCCATATATTCAACAAAACCAAGTTTTAATGTTAAAAGTAAGATATCAAAAGGCTGAGCTTTTCAAAGAAAGACGACCTGATTGGTACATCCGTATGCTGAAGGGACATCAGGTAGAAATAGTAATCTCTTACTAGAATCCACCACTCAGGCAGGTAACCTACAAGAGGAGGACAGAACTCAATTTCAGCATTAATGGAATATGCCATGGTTAATGTGCCATCTACTGGAGCAGAACACACGGTCAGCTTGGGGTCAAACCAGATCACGTGGGTTCACAGCTATTGCTAATTTATATGTATGATGTGTAATTGTGAATTTAACACCAACATTTTAGTGATTCTTTACTGTCCTGCATCAGTAAACTGCATTGCACTGTTAAGATAGGAGCCTTGATGCATTATTAGTGAATAATTTTAAAGTTTAATAAAGGGTTGTTCTTAATCAGTTATAGTCATGTTTAAGCTCACATAACATTCCAGTTATACTAGCATAAAGGCTGATACACACCTGACGCAATTAAGAATCTAAGCCAACAGAAACAAACCATATAAAATTTTAGAAATGCTTTAAAGGATTGTGGCCATGCAGAATGTTTGTGATCCTCTGCTACTCTGCCAATGTAGTTCCTAACAAGCAACACCCCAGATCTATTTCATTTGGACCTAAGCAGCAACTTCATGGGAAAGTCATGAGTCTAAAAATATAAGAGACACTGTGGCAAAGTCAAATACATTAGCTTTATGAAAAATACAAAAGTAAAATCTCTGAATCTTAAGGAAAACCAGGTTTGTTCCCTTGTAGGTTCATCCAGAAACAAACAGTACACATTTTTTGCATAAGCTGGACAGACATAGATGGTCAATGAAATATTTAAATACACCCTGTACTTACTGTAGGAAATCAGAAGTACAGTAAAGAGATGAAATAGAACAGCAATCTTCTTTGAGCTGGGCAAAGCAAGGCAAGGCTTTATGCTGCAGCTTTATGCTTACTACATGTCTTGTTTATGCTGAGGGAATTTCAGTTACATATTCTAACCTCTGTACAGACTTTCCTAATCAGCTACTTTATTTAAACCTAATGTCTTACTGGAATTATATTTATCACAAACACCATGTATCTTATCTATAGTGGTTATTAAGAGGAGGCATGTTTAATCTCCTTTGCTACAAAAATTACATATTGCTGTCTCTTAAAAAATCATGAATAACAGATACCTTTTTTACTGCTTGGTCAGACAAAAGTAAAATTAGACCAAATAAAAACCTTTACATCTTAATGGATCTGAACTAAATACCACAAACCACATAACAAATGTTACAAAGAGCATATCTTTCATCTGATGGAGCATTGTCTTGTTTAAAAAAAACTTCTATGTCCAATACACAGGCTATTCAGAACACACTCTTACAATCTATAAAGCTGATTGTAATTATGCTGTGTTTTATGTTTCTGGAAAGAACAGCATAAAAATCAGTTGTAGCTATACAGAGGCTCAATTGGTAGTTTGATTTTCATGAAGAAAAACCTAAATAAGATTATTTTAGCTTCTTCCTGAAATGTACCTTAGTGTGTGGAAAATGCTTGTCTACAATTTTTTTATTAAAATAAATTAGCGCCCATCTATGAAGTATGCATGTTACTTTTTATGCTCTCGCAGAATCTCAATATTATATTTCAGTGCAGAACATTTATTCGTCAAGCACATCTGAACCTTTAAGTTCTAGAATGGGTCCCATAGTATAAAACTGTTATGTGTCAATGTTTTGTCTACATTTCTAAAGGGATCTTTGGAATGTATCTAAAACTTTGTTTGAAAACAAACCAAGAAAAAAATCCTTTGTACATTATATTTATGAGTTTCTATTTTTTTGTAAACAGCATTAGCAATGGTTGCATTGTGCATTTATGTTTTAACCTAATTATATTTTAAACATTAATTCAAAAACATGTTATAACATCAGGTTTCTTGTCATTATTTTAGATTTTAGCCACCATTTTATAATCTTTGTTTACACTTATGTTTCAGCCTTTTCCAACTTTGATTTTAATGGGGTTTTTTTTGCTTTCAACGTGTCCTCACTATTGATTTTTATTTATTCTATTTCCTCAGTTTGATCATTTCTAGTGTCAATTTGTTATAGTTGTCTTTTAACTACTCTAAAGCAATCTGTGTTACACCAGACAGTTTAAAAAATGCTAACACAATTTAGATTGATTCTAATTTAACATAAGTTACATATGTCTTTTTGTTCTATTTCAAAGTGCTTAAATTAGGTTTTGTGGTAGTAATTGTGGATTTTTGTGTTCATTTTAAACTCCAGGGTTACTTCTTGCTTTTTGAATCCATGTTGGACTCTGTCCTGTATGCCAGAGACCTTTACTTGGCTGATGGTGGCTCAGGTAGGTGGTCTAATAATTTATTTAAGCACAATCTGTTTTTTTTTTTGTTTTGTTTTTTTAAGCGCAGGCATACAGTGTACAAAATATTCAATCGTACTCAGTTACAGCTCAAACTGTACGATAAATCCACAAGGTTTAAAAGTTCACAGTTCACAATGCATGTTCTTACACTGCTCTGAGCAGTACTCAGATTGCACTTCTCACACTGTATATTCAAAAACAATACGTTGGACTCCAGCGCCGAGATGAGTCAAAAACTCTAGAAAAATCCCGAAAAGGGCTAAAACTCGTACAGTCGATGCTTGCCTTAAGATATTCTGTGTTATGCAGTTTAACTGGTCTGATTATGAATTTATTAATAACTGTAGCCAGAGGTTATAGTTGCTTAATTAGTTATTCTAATGAAGGTTAATTGATAATGTGGATGTTGATCAAATGACAATTACCCTTGGTATTTGAGCAACTTGCTTACCTTTGTGACTAGTTGTCAATATATTTTAAGACAGAGCTCCAGCAGGCTATAGAGAGTAACTGTGGGGGATGGAAGGAGTACAGCAGAGGATTAGCTGAGCTTGCCAGGCAGGGGGAGTGAGGAAGTGAAGGCATCAGCTGTCCGATGTCTGAGCTGGAGGTAGGACGGAGAAACAGTTCTTCTAGGATTCAATTAAAACGGCTTTTGTAAAAACCATCTTAAAAGCTCTTCAGAGCATTCCCACTTCATAATTAGTCAAAATAATTTTCTCACTGTTCCATTTATATAAAAAAATCTTGACTCAGCTGCCCTCTTCACTGTAGCTCACAGCCACATCTAGTCCCTGACTGGACTTTGCGATGGAAATGTAAACAGAAGTTCAGATTTTTCATATCCTGCAAGTTTCACTTCAATGAATGCATGGTGGTGATCAAATACTCCCCAATTCGCCCAAAAGCCCAGCATTCAGCACGTGAAATTTGCCACCTTTGCCTCGGTCATTTCGCTTCCCTCTAGAACCGCCCTCTACATAGAGATAATGTGGGAATCCTTCACTCCAGCTGAAAAATTCCCTGATCTATACCCACAGTTTCCACCAACATGTTTCCATTCAATCACTTTGGTGTTCCTTGAACTTTGCCCTAATTAGAAGGATTGACTATCTTTTACATACAATCATATATTCCAATGTAAAACGATCAGAGCTTATAGAACACAGCTGCAGTGTTAAGTCTGTTTGAAGTTTATCTCAAAAGAAAAAAATGCGCCCTAAATGCACCAGGGAGCGTTATCACAGATCGTCCCTCACAGCAGCTGTACGACTTTATAACCTCCAGTGTTCCCAACAACCTAAATAAGTTGTAACATTCATGCTGACTTTGCACAGTTTCTCTCTGAGTCAATTAAATTACAATGCTGCTGTCTTTTTGCAAATCTCTGATGTTTCTGCTATTTTCAAATATCCATTACTGTAAAAATGTCCATAGCTGTAAATTGGCTATTTTTTCTCATGGTACAAAGTGTTATATTGTTAAAACACTTTGCAGTACAGTGTTTTATTATTTATATTTTAACTCTTCATTATTATGTTAATCTTATACACTTTTTAAGGTCCACATTTGTGTGACAATTTTTTTCTATAATTTTTATGCTGTTGTAAACACCAGAATTTCCCCTTTGGGGGAAAATAAAGGGATTTTCTATTCTAGGTCATTTGAATAGAGCTCTATAGGGTTTGTGTTGGCCACAGAAGGATCTAGTACATTTATGTCTCCTCAGTAAAGATTGGTATTTTTTTAATGTTGTATTTGAAACAGCTTAATGAAACTCAGTAGTGCCTCAAGACACGGGCTTGACACACTTGGAAATTCTTTCCTTTTTTCATCCCATCACTGCCACAAATTCAATGGCTTGTGCCAAATGTGACCATGCTGAGAAACTGTTCCACCATGCTGCCTTTAGTAGCTCCTGGGGACATGAGAAGGGTCACACTTGCAAAGCAACCTACACATACCCACATATATGTGAACACACAAAAGGGGCAGTCAAAATGATGGGTGCCTATAGAGATAAATTTGTTAAAAAATAATTTTTGACAGGTGAGACATGGCCTGAGTGGAACCAGAACTTAAATGTCGGAGGTCAGCGTGTGGTGCTTCATGAATTAAAGGTTGATAGCCCTAGCTCACAATGATCTTTTGAGGTCTTTTGCTCACCAGAACGTGAGAAGGTTAAAGGAAGACTCCTGAGGCACGTTTTGTACTTTGTCAGCTATGAAATGAAATTTAAACCACCTATGATTTTTAGAACATCACAAAAACACCATTATATAACAGTTACTAGGGGTGTAAATAATAATCGTTTTGTATCGATGCATCGATCCAACAGCCGACGATCCGATGCATCGATACGTCCGCAAGATTATCGATTCATGTATTTTGTTTTTTTTTCTCCGGTCTATTTTTATCCATTTGCCCCTGGACGTAATTCTCCCTCCCATGCTGCGGTGGCGCTAAACCTATTTTGCCCTCCTACCCCGCTTCCTGGTTATACTCTTACAACAGTTTGTTGCAGTGACCTTGACACAGACATTTTTGATTTATGCTCAATATTGAAGCGTGGTCTGCGCTACACACTGTGCAGCCTTACTTTGAACGGCCGCTTCACACCGATGTCGAGCGGTTGAAGTTCCTTTGTCAGACCCCCCGGGATAACGGCGAGCACAGCGTTCATTTGATTCACCCTTTTTTTTCACATCGGCTGTGAGATGGGCACGCAGCGATGGTGATGCGTGGAAAAAAACACCTGGTCTCCTCACATACACCTGCCTCAGCCACGCTTTCATCATCTCCTCATCCATCCAGCCTTTTTCATTTGCATTAATATCATATGTAATCAGAGCGCTGTGTCTGTCTCGCTGTCAGCTCCCAGATCAGCTTCTCTGATTGGTTGATGCGGCGCGTCCAGCAGCAAAACTTCAATTTTTCCATCTCGAGCAGCAGCAGCGCGTTGGCGGTGCGTCAGATGCTTAAACGCTCCCGACGCGCTGCGCCTGCTGCTCAAAACGCGCTGCGGGACCTTTTGCTGCGCCTATACGCGCGTCAACCATTGACTTTGCATGTAAACTCGCTGCTTCTGCTGGACCTGCTGGGTCTGGTTCACACCGATGTCGAGCGGTTGAACAGCGAGCACAGCGTTAATTTGTTTCCCCATGTTTTTCACATCAGCTGTGAGATGGGCACGCATGGAGTTACATATTAACAGCGATGGTGATGAGTGGAAAAAAAACACCTGGTCTCCTTACATTCAGCCACTCTTTCATCATCTCCTCAATGAGGTGGTCTCAAAAGTCGCAGTTACAACACACATAGGGCGCACCGCACATTTTGAGGAAAAAAAAAAAGGTTTAAGTGCGCCTTATAGTCGTGAAAATACGGCAGTTATATTTGATAAATATATCATATTTTAATGATGTGTTAGTTTTTATTATGTCAGCATTTACCATATAATATGACAGTATTTAGAATATGATGATGGAAAGAAAACTCAGCTTTTTAAAAATTATTGCCCAGGAGGAGTAAACCACAAATTAACTAATTAAGTAATCATTTGCATTCCTGTTTGCATTTATTTTAAAATGCATTGTAAAAAGATGTACACATCAACATATTTTTGTAATTATGCTTTCTCTCATTTAGAAGTTAATTTTCCCTGATTCCGCAATAAAGAATAAAAGATGACTCAAATGAATTCTTAGACGTACTCGTAAAACATTAGTTATAATAATACTTTGGCATTACGCTTAGCCCTAATTTCAACCAATAGTCCCAGTAACAAATGAAACACTGAAATAAGCCAAAAATGCTGTTAAATATAATCTGATCTTATTATAACTGTCAGAAATTTCAGCTGGACACAGTTACATTCTTGCCTAAATCATTCTCACTTAAAATCTGTTTAGTTTCTGTCAGAGATAGAATATTTCATGAAATTATAATCAGAGTTTTTGTGCTTTGTTTTTGCCATAACTTTTTTGAGCCATAGTGAGTCATGGGATAGGATAGGATGGGCATTGCTCACAAGGGAACTTAGGATTTACTACCCTCTGCAGCTGCTTTGGTGAACTGCTTTTGATGTATGGTATTGCTGACAATGAAATATATTTAGAGATGGAGTAACACATACTGTTCTTTAAAATCAATATGGTTTATTTTGTTGACAAATAATTTCAACCTTACATTTTGACTGCTAGATATACATTTTTTCTTATATTTGAATTTGAGAAACACAGTTTTTTACCTGTGCTCATTATAAGTGGAAAATTGCTCCATCCTTTTTTTTTTGTTTGTTTATGACCTGATATGTTGCTGTTTAAATCTAGAAAGTGCATTGTATAATGCAGAGAAGATGGAGTCCTATACTCCAGAATAGCAAAGTCATTAAGTCATTCTGCTGTGTTGAATTTAGCCAGTTCTATTCTAAAGCATATTTTTAGATTTTAAGTGTATGTGCACATGACTGTGCTGAGTTATTAGTCCATCCCTGCAGTGTTGCTGCTATATGTGTGTTTAAGCTACATTAGAGCAGAGTTACAGCAGCTCTCCCATTTTCCCCACAACATTAACTTCCCTTTCATCCTTAAATGTGTCCCCACATGCCTGGCACAGTACAGTGTCCAGGGGAAAAAAGTCTGTTTTGTACTACTCCCCCTCACACACTTTTTTCCCCACTCCTCTATACAGACGACCATTGGGTTGGGGTGTTAGATGGGGGGCAAAAAAAGAGCAAGAGTACAGGGTGTGGGGGTGAAGGGGAGTGGTGTGCTTGACAAACGGGCTGTGAGCAGCGATTCGAGAAGGACGCAGATGTCAAAGCCATGAATCTATTGATGCCTGCCTAGTCCGCCCTTCTTAATTTTTTTGTCTTTCTGCACAGCACTGCCAGGTTTGGCTTTTAATCACTTCCAGGTCCTTTCCCCAGCAATCTTACAGTGCTGTCCTGATTCTGCCAAGTCAACAATTTTACCTTC